GTAAACAATCCACTGTGGACCAGACATTCCAGTGATTGACATCAAAAGCATTGTCAGTGAGTGAGCTATCTGCAACATTCCAGCAATATCACGACGGGAAACACCAGAAATGGGCTTCAGACATCGCACTCATGTGGGGAATCGAATCCCGGTCACCAGCGTAACAAGCAAACACTTAAACATGTTCAACCACTGCCCTTCAATAGCATTGATCCACACAATTGGGGTATCATGACATGCCTCAACCAAGTCAGTGCGCCTGATACGAACAGCATGGGCTGCTTGTACCCAAATCTTGATGGGTACAAACGTAAAAGGAGTGGCCTTTTTGTGTATTCAAAACAAGCATTGTCACTAAGGTGACATAATCCCCCGCCGCAAATTATCAAATCAATTTAAAAAGTAATGAAAGTTTAAGATGAAGTTAAATGTCAGCAAAAACATGACCAGTCAACCTCTCTTGAAATCTTGCTCTTTAGTTGTTCAAACACAAATATTTTCAAGACTGACTTTGACCTTGACATGAATGTCATAGTGTATGAAATATGCAAAAATGGTACTAAAGAAATTGCTTATTGAAAAACATTCAAGGAAAGAAAATCCAGTGAATTCAGGTTAACACACTGAAATCTTGAAAAGTGTCGCAGTGACCTTGAAAATTATATGATGGTCACCAAAATTAACTGGGCCCTTCGCCTTCATTAGATGAAGCTTGGTGTCAAATATGAAAAAAATCCAGAGAAGGGTCTTTGCGATATCCTGCTGACTATCATAACATGCAATTTAACATGCTGAAATCTTCAAAGTGTGTCTTTGTGACCTTGAAAATTAAGTGAAGGTCACCAAAATCGACTGTGTCTTGCACTTTCCCTAGATGAAGCTTGTTGTCAAATATGAAGAAAGTCCAGCGAATGGTTCTTGAGATATCTCGCTGACCATCTTAACATGCAGGTTAACATATTGAAATCTTCAAAGTGTCGCTGTGACCTTGAAAATTAAGTGAAGGTCACCAAAATCGACTGGGCTATGCGCCTTCCCTGGATGAAGCTTGGTGTCAAATATGAAGACAATCCAGTGAATGGTTCTTGAGGTATCTCGCTGACAAGCATAACATGCAGGTTAATATGCTGAAATCTTCAAAGTGTCACCATGACCTTGAAAATTATGTGAATGTTACCAAAATCGACTGGGCCCTGCGCCTTCCCTAGATAAAACTTGGTTTGAATATGAAGAAAATCTAGTGAACGGTTCTTGAGATATCTCTCTGACAAGAGTAAAATGTTAAAGTCCCCTTGTGACCTTGAAATTAAGGTTAAGGTCACCAAACCTGACTGGGACCTTTCTTATACTGTGTTGAACCTAGGTACCAAAATATGAAAAGAATGTAGTCAACGGTTCTTAAGATATTCCAATCCGTACATACGTACGGACAGACGGAGCCTAATACTATAATAAAGAACTAAAGAGTAACTATATCCTCTTCATCAAATCCAAAGGTAATTTTCCACACAAAAATAAACCCAGAAGAAAAACACAACATCCTGTAAAATCAGTGTTTCTCTCAGCCACGTCTGCAATGTCAACATTATCCCATTGATCAAACTCTTGTTTGACTTATATCATTCCATTTATTTTTAGAAGTAACACAAATGAAATTAGACAATGACGGCAGGAAAGATATTTTGTTCTTGCACAATGATAAACATCCTCCTATATTATCCTTGTCTTGTACAGCTTCTCAGCTGAGAGAAACAATGAAAGTTTATTGATTTCATAGAATGTCCTTCAAATAACAACTTGATAGTAAAATTAACTTCTCACAAATACATGGCAAAACAAGAACAGGTATACTGTTTCAAACAATACATACGTCCTGTACAATTCAAAAGAATGAAATTCAACTGAACATGAAATGAACAATGATGACCCTTGTCATATATTACAGTAATAATTACATCTTGGAACAATACCTACAATACTGAGACCTGTCTACAAACACACACACTCAGTGCCAGAAGCAAAGACACATAAAGCCAGACATGAACTGAGGGAGAACACAAACTTTTCAATATACACATTTGTAAACGGAAAGAAAAATCATATTCTATAACAGCATCAACATATGCCTTGCAGGAAACTGCTAAAAAAGCAGAAAGTACACAGCTAGGAGACACTGTAGTTACCATGACTGCTTGGATACTTCCAAAATTATTGCCCAATTGTGCATTCTAAGAAAGTAGATAATAACCATGATAACGAACAAGCAACTGGTTACATAACTTGTGTTGCTGAACACTGGGATGCGACTATTTGATTGAATATAATTGATGTTCACAAGAATTCTAATTAATTAAAAAAAATCAAGTTGACAGGGGCATGCATTAATTATATAAAGACAAATATTCTGATTTAGCTGGTAAGGCTCCATCATCTAGTATTCAGTTTAGCAACTCTCCAGCCAGTGCTGAGCAGAAACATTGCTGTTCTGCAAACAGTGTCTAAGTTACAGTTCCTTACAAATTTACAAATACTCACAGAAACGTGTATGAGTTCAAGCTGTGCATGTCTCTTACAAACAACCTGGCAGAAAGTCTTCATTTCACATCACGTTATGTGAATATGAACACAGCATGTACATACAGCACAGGCTTTAGGATTTGGAAGAGGATGAACAAGAAGACCCCATGAGGATAAACAATTAAATTACATCACTAACACTTTTAACATTGTAATCACAAGCATACCTATTGGATGGCCACTGTACCACTGTGTACCATTACACATAGTCCAGCATATGTCTATAACTATTTACATCAGCAATGGAATATATTAAAATATGGAAGCTGTCTAGACCAGATACGGGTTCTATGATTCTAGCATGACATCATTTTACCCTAGCCATATGCAGGAAAAGGAATGGAGTTTCAGAAACAAGGGCCCAGTTTAATCCTGCACAGAATGAGCTACCATTTAGCTATCACTAAGTCAATATAAACATTTTGGCAAATTTCTGAGAATATATTATGATATACAGCATATTCGCAAACATCACAATAAAAAATGGTTTGTCTTAAGAAACTATTTAAAAACTTAAAGTGAGTTTCTAAGTATCTTAATAACAGTTTGAATTCAACAGGTTCATGGGAGTAGCAAATGTTTGATTAATCAATGTAAGTAACATCTTTACATCTCCCCATGAGATATGCATCATGTTATCTGCTGTGAGTAATTAGCGAGAACCAATTGAATGATAATTGATATACACCATTTCATATGAATAAAAATCATAATTATAACTAAAGAACACTTATCCAATAAATATGCTTACAGACACCTGAATCTAAAATAAAGTACAGTTGAAAAAGGACAATAAACTGTTTTTAGACTGTTACTCTGTATTGCTAAAATTTAGAAAACTGCAAATGGCATATGTCGAAATAACCCACATCGGCCTAACTGGGCATTCAGTGTGATGCGTAATAAGATATCCAGAAGAGCATGTTTACTCGTAAAATCGGGAAAAACAAAAATACAAATAGCTGCTGAAAACAATAGATAAGACTATAGATGGCAATTAGGTCGCTCAGCCAAATATGATGAAAGACCGTCAACTCACCTGGCATGAAATGCATGTGCTGCAAACAGGCACAAGGGGTCACCTCACAGATGTTTTATGCTTTTTCATGTGTATTGAATATGTCTCATCTATTGATTAGCAATAACATCTTACGTGTCTTTCTTTCATAAGGTTTATGTTGAGATGTGCAAAAGAGTATGATACCCATAGAAAAGCTTAAATCAGCCATCGTATTAAATGTCTCAAAATATATAGGTGGCATGACCACCCTTGGATATTATTTGTAAACTGTTATGACATGCCGTTTACTTCCCCAGTTTTATTCCCCTGTAGGATTATGTTATCTTAGCTGATATCTCTATCTCCGAGCCCGACCCCAACCACCGTCTGCGACACCCGTCCTGGTTTTGCTTTTGAGACAACCCCTCCTACCTGTTTCTTTTTATAGTGATAGTGAGACTCCATGGTAGCTACATCCTTATTAGTTTCAGTATTAAAGTTGTTATGTTTTACATCAGCTATCATTTATAATGAGCTATTTGTAATACAATATCATCACACACTAATTTGCATAAAGACATGGTCTGTTCTAAATAAGTTGCTTTGGACTTAGAAAAAAACTGCATTGCTCACTTCTGCACTAATCTCTCCTCAGTAAAGTCCTTTTTTTACGTTTCCTATCTCCCTACCACTGAGACTCTGAAGTTAGGCCGAACTTAGTTTAACAGATATTTCACACTTCCAAGATATTAACTACATAAATTGTAGATATAAATGTGACAGTACTTTAGTTACAATCTCTATGTGGGCTGTGGTTGGGTATAAGCTCTTACAAACAGTACCTGCTGTACATGATAGCAGATTTTCTGTATATTTAGTTTGGCCTTTGAGTTTTGTCTTGTCTATAGAAGCACTGAAATAATGTCTCCCTTAAAAAGTGGCTTATGCAAATATTCTTAAGTACGATGTTAAACCCCATTTCACTTCACCTAGTTTCACAAAGATTTGTATATACCACATTCATTGTAATAAGCAACCTGGAAACTTGGCAGAGGGGACACTTACTTAGTTTTCCAGGAGGTTCTTAATATGGATAATAGAGTAAATGTAAAATCTAAGCCAGATACACTTACTTCCATGTATAACAGAAGGGGTATTGCCACAGTTGGCAAGAGAAAACAGATAAGATAAATTGCATCTCATTGAAAACATTTTCTTCTAGATGTTATGGTTTCTGGGATGTTTTTTTCTAAAATCACAATGCACAAACTGAGTTTTTATTCCATTGTTCTTAATTTGCTTAATGCATCTTGGTATTTTTACCAAACAAAAGCAACAAAGCCTATTATGTAAAATGGATGCAAAGTTTGTCTTGTTATGAATTAAAAATGCCCACAAAATACTATCAAGTATATTTGTTTTCTACACGACACTTGGGGTTCAGCTTTGACTTAGCAATGCTGTATGGACATGATGGAGGCTACATTGCTAATAACAATGATTTACTACCAATATATTTACTAAAAACCTAGAATTATCATAATTGTCACTCAAAGACTCAAAAGGCAACCAAGCATGGTAAGTGGACTTTTGACATTCTAGAATGACAAGAATCAGAATGTCATGAATTTCATAAGTATCAATAACAACGTCTGTAGTTTCACTGAAGCACTTTCTGCATGCTTTGTACATCAATCTAATCACTGTTGTATAGCAAAGGCTACTCCACTTGTGCTACATATTGTATAACCCCTTGACTGTTGATTTCTGCATACTGGACCCTTGCTACAATGGGCACTCCGTCAACAGTGGAGAATATTTGTGTCTCTCCTTGGTTCTCATCTGCACACACTGCAGCTATGTTAGCCACTGTCTGAAGTGTTGCCTGAGTCATTATATCAGCACCTGCTACAACAGCATTCTCATCTTCATGGTAGTCAGATATCCTGTGTTTCTTGGTAGGGGGATCTCCAACACTGTGCTGCTTCAACATATGTTCCTTGAGTTTATCATAGCGTGTTGTTGAGAAATTGCACTGTTCACAGCTGTGTGGTCGGTCATCTGAATGTAATAGCATATGCCTCTTCATGTTCTTTATCAGAGAAAAGCTGTGACCACATATTTCACATTGGTGGGGTTTTTCATGAGTGTGAGTAAGCATGTGGTATTTCAAATTCTGTCGCTTTGTTGCTTCAAAGCCACATCCTTCAAAGTCACACTTAAACGTCTCTCCTGTATGGATCAATCTGTGAGCTTTTAGTTGACTCTTATGTGCTGTAGCAAATCCACAAATATCACATAAGTGATCCTTTGTCACACTGTGGGTGATCATGTGGTTTTTTAAGGCATGTTTCCACTTGAACCCTGCAGCACACAAATTACACACAAATGGTTTGTCCTCTCTGTGTTTTGGTAGGTGAGTATTCAACTGGGTTCTGCTTTTAAATTTGATATCACAAAACTTGCAAAAGTATGGTGTTGGACCGTCATGTTTAACTAAATGTGCTTTAAAATCAGTTTCTGATTCTGCCTTGTAGTCACAAAAACTACAGATGTTCTCAGCATGAAGATGTTTCTTCTTGTGTTCAGCCAGGACTTTTACACGTTTGGCTTTAAAATCACATTTGTCACATGTATAATTTCTCCCTTTTGGCATGAAATTAGCATCATCTTCCTTCTTGTCCTCACTATCTTCATTTTCCTCAGCACCTTTGTTTTCACAGTTCTTTGATTCTTTTTCAGTCTTGATAACCTTATTCACACTTCTGCGTGCCCTCTTCAGTGGATGCATGATAAAATCAGATCTGAATCGAGGACCTCGACTATTTCTCAGACGAGCACTAGACCTAGTAGATGTAAGGTATGATGTAATTGGCCTTTTTCCACGGGTTCTCATTGTACTCAGACTGTTTTCATTTTCATTCTTGCCTTCATCATCATCCATATCTTCTTCTACACCTTCATTGTTTTCTTCATTGTTGTGATCGGTATCAGTTTGACCAACTCTCTCTTTTTCTGCATTCTCTTCCTCAGCCATGAGACTAATGAAGGCAGAAAAGTCATCATCTGATTCCTCTTCTTTTTTACTTTTTCTTGGTCTTCCTCTTCCTCGTTTCTTTGCCTGTTTCATGCCACGTTCAACTTTGATTTCACTTGACTTTTCTGCATTTTCTGGTTGCAATATCGTTGCATCTTTTATTTCAGTTTTGATATCATTAACATTGTTTGCAATAGTACAGGTCCCAACATCAACTTTGGAATATTTGAAACTTGCATCATTAGCAGGAATTACCTTGTGCCCCCTAAATCCACTTTGGAAATGCTCACAGAAGTTTGTCAGTGGTTCCATCTGCATAATCTTCGATATCTCGAGGACCTGCGTGAGGATTCGTAAGTTAAGACAGATGTTGCTTGTGTACATAAAGTCAACCACTTTTCGAACAGCTTCTCCATATCCACTGTCTCCATCACTGCCATCTATGTGGATTTCAATTACCTGAGGTGTTTTTTGAGAAAATGCACGCGGCAGGTCTTGTCCCTGTCCCAGAAAAGATCCAAAATATGGACTTGCTGCAGCCAAAACGTTAGAATGGGCAAATATTTCCTCCCCGCAAACACGTAGCAATACATCGCAAAATCTAGATGCAGTCCTTTGATCGTGTAACGCTTTTAAAATACCTTCCAGTCTGTGTTTATCAACGAGGGACGCACTATCCTCTACAAGCGTAGCCATTTTGAAGGGAGGGAACGTTCTGAAAATTTGATTGGAGAAAATTATACCACTGATGACGCGAGAACATGTAAGTGAAAGAAAATGGATAGATATTAAATCTCTATTTAACGATGTTAGATAAATGATGTACACGTTGGTATATTTTTGGGCAACTATTATTATCCAAAGGCAGCTAAATGGGAACGGAACGGTCCCTATATTTCTGCGGACCGACCGGAAGTTTAGGTTCGTTATTGACAAGTCCAGTGTCATCAAGCTCTAGAGCGTAGAGTGAAAATAATAACAGCTGATTATTGTTTGATTTCAAGAATGTTGGAATTTTGAGCATGCCAGCATGTCATTTCTGAAGAAGTTTGGCCAAAGAAACAGAGAAAAAGCTTTCACAGATCGTGCAAATCGAGAACAGGATCAAGATTCTGTGCTTGCAGACGACGACGATCGAGATCCTTTTTCAGTGAACATCACGGGTACTCTTGATTTGACGATACCTGATGATGAGTCGAACAACGCTACAACACCTACCTATGGTAATCAACCACGAATTCACGATTAGAAATGATTTCCAGATTCTGTGATAGGTCATGTTATTAAGGTTTTAATGTTTTTAAGGAAAGCTCGGCTGATCAATACAGACTTTGCATATCTTTTGTTTGATTTAAATCAGGATGTCAAATTACATTTGACTGTTTTGATGTTTTTTTGCGTTGTGTTTTGGATTTGTAGTATAAATCTAGCCTTGCATATGTTGCCAATGCTTGTTTTTATATGGTACTAAGGTGAGCACTATGAAATAACTGTCAACTAAGTAATTTAAATTGGCAGTGTTGATGAAGAAACATACATTACTGCAGTACACTTAAAAATTTTGATGATAAATTAATATTGAAGTAAAGGCATATCAGTGGTCTGGTTAGATCTTTTGGTCCCCATATGAAGATCAATAGCCATGCCCTCGATATAAGGATATTTCTGTATTTTGGAAATGATTGTGATCAGGGAGTGTTTGAATGATAACATTTTTAGAATTGAGATAATTAAAAAAATAAGGCAAACAGAAAACTGATATCTGATTTTCTTAAGAACCCACATGCCCCTCATTCTGATGAGGCTTTCAACATTCAATCAGGGTTCCCCTGAAGTGACCTGCCATCAGAGTAGAACATAAACATCATCACAGGTCCCAGATCATACAAGCAGCAGGCGTTCCTGTCAACATGATCAGACTGTGACAGTTAGAAATTATTTTAACAAACAGCATCTGATAAGAGTCCACCCATATTTTTTGTCACTTTCTATTGAAACATTTCTTGAACTCGTTGGCAATATCAAACCTCATGCCAATATATTTTCTTATTTTGTGGATGGCCCTTTCTTCAATGTGGTAATGGGAAAAATCACGATTAAAATGTTTATTTTGGTTGAATATATTCCAATTTGAGACATGTTTTCCAGTTTGAAATTACTTGAAGTATTAGTAAAACCTAAGTGTTTGCTTAAACAGTGAATAACTATTTTATGGATAGTAATAATAATGATAATATAGGTCATCTGTAATTCGCTTGATTCCGCAACACTTGGCCATGCTCAGTAGAAGTGAAGAAAGAGGAATGTCTTTAGGTGAGATTTAAAACTTGAGACAGTTGGAGCAGATTTAATGTCTGTAGGAAGAGAGTTCCACAGGAAAGCAGCTGGATGTTTGAAGGAACTTTAAACAATGCACAAGATTATTAGAACACATGTATCTTGAATTTCATGAAAGTTCTGAATTGCTATTTGAATATGCTGTGTTGACATGTCATCACCTTTGCATGCAATAAAAGATGAATAGTTTCTAGGTGTTGATAATTCTGACCTTATTTGTTAGTATCACTATTTACTGTTTGTCTCCTCACAGATACTCAGTCCCCACATTTTCTGGCACTCAATGTTGATCCACCAGGAACAGTCCATGTTGCATTTGAAGTGACATCTGCAGAGGTTATTAAAGATCAAAGATCCAGCTATGTTGTAAGTGTTTGGATTCATCATTGAGCTGAGATACCAGTACTGCTGTGTTAAATGCCACATAAGCAAGTTCTGTGTGATAACTCTGTGTCTGTGTAGAGGGGATGTGTCACACAGTGTTCCCAAAGAGTAGGAGTGTAAAAATATATTGATACATGTATATAATGATACTTCTTGAATGCGTGATTTAACACTGCCTTGGAAATTGAACAATCTAACTAATGTGACTCAAGAAAATATAGTTTGTTGAGATGTTTATCTATGAGTCATGGGGCGGTGGGGTAGCCTCGTGGTTAAGGTGTTCGCTCATCACGCCGAAGACCTGGGTTTGATTCCCCACATGGGCATGATGTGTGAAGTCCATTTCTGGTGTCCCCCGCTGTGATATTGCTAGAATATTGCTAAAAGCGGTGTAAAACCATGCTCACTCTATGAATCATAGTGGTAAGGAATGTTTTTGCACGTCCTTGAGGACTCATAACCATGTTATTAAAGATGATTTCTTTTGTATTCTTTCAGTTGTACACAATCCTGGTATCCAGCAGTTCTGGTGTGGAAAAGTTGCCAACCACAGTTGACCGTAGGTATTCAGACTTTGAGAAACTCAACACAAACCTGAAAAAAAAGCACCCCCACATTATGGACGATGTCTCTTTTCCTAGGAAGCTGTTAGTTGGTAATTTTACCAGTGAAACCATCGCACATCGGAGCAGGGCATTTGAACAATATCTGAGCCATGTATTTTCTGTATATGAGTTACGATACTCAAATGAATTGGCAGCCTTCTTCTACCTTAATGATGCAAAAGAAGGATACTCACTGTTATGCAGTGAACAATACCTGGAAGCAATTTCTCTGTTTGAGAAATGTCTGCCTGTGTGTGAAAAACTGTATGGTGGTGGTCATTTAAGAGTTGTCTCCCTTCTGCATGCCTTGGTCGTGTGTTACCATGCAATAGAGAAATTGAACAAGGCTCAGAAGTATGCAGAGGTTGCACTTAGGAGCACCAGCGACCCAGTGGTGGATGAACCCAGTATTGCCCTCATCAAACTGTCCATTCGCCTGTGCTGGTCTCTGGGCAAGGACAAGCAGGACCTGGAGAAGAGGCTGCAGGATTTAAAGGCCAGGAAGATCAATGTGGATAATGTGCCTGATCTGAAGGATATTGTCAAACTGAAGACACTGATCTGATTGTGGATGCTATGTAATGATTCAGTGTATAACAAAATTTGAGTATTGATATTTATGTTAAATTATTAAAGAATTCAAACAACTATTTTTATTTAAAATGCCAACAGTTTCTCCATTTCATTCCATATGTATTTGGTATGAGTGCTGAAATATGGCATGTCTAAATGTAAGTGAAGTTTGACATTGAGCATGTTTTCTATATATATCTAGCCACAAGAAGTTATTATATGCATGATCTGACAAAATGTAATCTTTGTGATCTCAAAGCAATGAAGTGGTGGTACACGTATGACAAGTGTCTTTTGTGTAAATATTACTTTGTATTTTAGTAGAAAAGTACTTGTAGTAACATGAAATGATGTCTGACAGCACTTGTACATTCTGTGATATAAGCAAATTTGTAAAACCGATACATTGTTGTATATTTACTATAGTATCATGTATATCAGACACCGTTGTTGCATCTGTGTGCATCCTCTTACTCCAATATGCTGTAATTTAACCAGGAACATGCACAGAGAGATCAGTTTGAAATTTTAGGCATTTAGATAAATAATCTGTAAGTCTGATGATGTCTATTTGTGGTTATTTGACTAAGCCTAGCTGGAATGATGAATTAGGATACCAACATACATCAATTGGTGGTCACACTGATGAGACTTTCTAAACTAAATGGTGTGTGCCTCTCTATATATATACACAGGTTCTACTACACTAAATCAGTTTCACTTGCTTGCTGAGCCAGTGTATTGTGTGAACATCAGGCCAGATAGAGACATGTGACAGCTGTGATTGGATGAAATAGTGTAAGATGTTTTTGTTTTTTAAAAGCACACCCATCCAGTAATCAAAAATGACCACAATTTTAAGTATGTAATGCAGTCATGTTTGTAACCATGACTTATGCTTAATGTGTATACAGATATGTAGTAGGTGACATTTGGTGTGGAACTGGTGTTGATGTGTTCAGCTTCCTGTGCTTGGAAAATAGACATGATAAGTTAGCCGGAATTTGTGTTTTTATTGTAGTTAAAGGCCAGACTGTACCAATCTGTACATGGAATGGCTGTTGACAGCCTGGGTGATTTAAAAAATATATAATGTTACTAAGAAGTCTATGGGAAAACATTTGGTTTTGTCTAAACTGTATGTGAATTCAAGGGTTACAGAGTTATTTCCCTTTGACCATGGTTGCAGATTGCCCTCAGAAGACCCCTGCACCATCAGGTTATGTTGTGAAACCCCTGATTATATGAAACCATTTGTTATGGAAGTTGCCATGTAAATTAGGCTTGTGTCGAGACATGAGACTTTTGTAGCATGTAATATCAGTCTGACCAGTTGTAAATATTTGTCGGGGCTGTGGGGTAGCCTAATGGGTAAAGCGTTGGCTCGTCACGCCAAAGACCCGGGTTCGAATCCCCACATGGGTACAATGTGTGAAGCCCATTTCTGTTGTCCCCCTCCGTGATGTTGCTGGAGTATTGCTAAAAGCGGCGTAAAGCCAAACTCAGACAGTCAGTCAGTAAATATTTGTCTGTCTCTGTATCCTTAATGGTAACTGTTTTCGTGTGACTCATATGGAGGCTTGGTACATAATTCCACAAGGTCCTGACAGTAGAGTTTGGTACAATTGTCATTATTTGTTTTACCATGATGACCAAAGAGAATGATGCCGATGTGGCTTGTATAGTGATACCAGCATGAATAGTTATGTGAGTACATTAAGCTGTACTTACCTGGTCACAAGAAAGCATGTTTGTTGATGTCATGCTAGTCAGGTTGTTTTTACCAACATTATGGATTGTTTGTTAAATGTTCCACCTGTTTTGTTGCAGAATCATAATTTGGAGTATTGATTGATAATGTTCTGATTTCCCAGCATGGAGTTATATCAATGCTAGAGCTAGTAGTTGCCAAGGTTATTGATGACTTTGTTGTATTTAATAAATGCACACTTGATTACCACAGTGAGCAAATATAAGCACTGTGTCAAACATTGAATCACATATGGCTTACAGATCAGCAGACTTTAGCTGGGAAAAAGTAGTTGTATGTTATTGTTTATTGCACAAATGTTAATGATTCTAGATCTGAAGGGGATGAAATGTGTAACAGAAGATTTATTTTGTTTTGTTGAAATGCTACAACTGAAGACCCGAGTAGTGACTTCCACTGCTCTCCTCTGACGGTATCTTTACACAGTACATACAGCAGTGGAAGGAAACGGTTTCTGGAATTGTTGAAAACATCCATATAGGCTTCAATAATTTGCACAAACATGATTAATACTAAGTCTTTGAATGGCATTTACAGATTTATATAATTTTGGCATTTGTTGATATATAGGCAATTACTGTACTTTTATAACAGTGTTTCTAGACTGGGGTATAAGTGTGAAATATTTATGATATATTGTACAGTCATATTGAGCATTGCTAGCAAATCAGATTGTTTATCTTTAACAGTGGATTATTTATTCACTATGTACTGCAATAAATGCAGTATAAGTACATACATGTCCATATATCTTGTCTGTCTGTCTAACATGATGCACCAAAGTGTATTGACACCTTTAGTTAGTGTGTCTGGTGTTAAAGGCACACTGTGGAATGGTCAAATTACAGTCTGCTGAGAGGTTGCCTTCAAGAATTATGAATGTTCAGGCTGGTAAAAGTGTCATGTAAAGTTGCATTATGTTATTGCATGGCGATAGATCTGATCTGATTTGTGTGATGTTTTTCTGAAGTGAATGGCACCAAAAGGTAGCATCATGAGACAAGGCAGAAACCATAACATTACCAATGCAATAAAAACAATCATCTTTCAGTTTGTGAAGATACACGTTTGATGGCTTTATCCAGGGGTTTTCTAGGGATCAGTGGAATTCTGTGAATTTTATATACTCATCTTTCTCCCAGAAGTTTCAGTGCTGATTGGAAAATTTACCTGAAACATTTACCTATCTTGGTGTGCTCAGATCACAGAGGGGTATTGTAGAAGAAACATTGGCTAAAGGTCTGTAACATTAACCTAACATTAACAAGAATAAAGAATAAAAGCAATTGTATTAAGTTGTGATGAATGCTATGTGCCCTGTCATGCTAATCAACACTATCATATGTAGGCTTCAATTTTAATGTGAGAGAACTAATGTCTCTGTCATCAAGTATTCTGAAATATGATCAATGCATCAAGACTTCCTGGATTTTAGGCTTTGTATTATACATGTTCTGTTTGTGTGTAAATGTGATTATTGGCATATTGGAATTGTTAGAATGTGACATTGTGTTGGTTACACATGTCAGGTATACTCCTCCTGCTCTCATTTGTGCATGTAATGCAAAGACTTTTCTTATTTGAAGTAACTGAGATATGTGATGCTTAGCATGACTGACAGACCCTCATAGCTCTCCTTTACGACCTGGCAACCCGCCAACTCAGTCTAATGATAGTGGCAGTAGCTCCGTGGTGTATTGGCTTTGTTGAGGAAGAAATGATGACAGCATTGTTATTACCTACCTGCTTGTGTTTTTGTTGTTTTGCTTGCTTTCATGCTGCTGCAATATGTAATGTCAACAACTTACTTTGTTTCAAACTTAAGTTGAGTTTTAATGTTGTTATTTTTTCTTGAAACCATCTTGCTGTCTGTAAACATGCTTGTATTTACTATTCTGCTTTTTTGTTGATGCCAAGCTAAGAAGAAAAGAGCTGCTCTGTCCAAACACTCAAAAGAAGTTTGTTCATTTGTGTTTTTTCCAGTCATACAGTAGATCAAAGACAATGACTTCTTGTATAGATTCCCTAGGGTCAAAACACAAATGTTCAGTGGAAGTGAAGCTACAAACTTTTTAAGTAGAGAAAAGTTTCAAACTACTTGGTATGTTTGTTGGCTACATAGAAGGAGAGGTTTGTATAGTAGCACGAAGTCTCATGTAGCCCATACCAATGTTTCAGTTTACTCTGATCCACTTCTATACTCTGTATGAAGGAGGAATGTACCATGACATACATGGGAACTTGTGGAGAACTGTCACATTGGTGATTGTATACCATTATTTCATAATATGTATTATGTATCAGACTTCATTGGCCTAACTCTTTCATTATATCACCTGTACATATACTCTGGTCATCACGTTACATGTACACAATTTTGGAGCAGATTCTCAGTTTGATGTTGAATTATTAGAAATATCATGTTATTATTTTTGGACTTTGATGTCAAAGGGAAGTTCATTACTCATTCATGGAGTTTCCCATAGTAATTATTCCCATGGAAATATATATGATTAGACCTTTTATGACATGACTTACTTAAAGTGTCCATCTTATCATCAGTGTATTTAAACATCCTCAGAAACCACTTGACCTATCAACCTGAAACTTCACATGTTTGTCCCTGCTAATGATGACTACAACATTTATTCAAAAGGTTCCATTCTAGTTTTCAAAATGGGGACCATGGCAGCCATATTGAAAACCCTTTAAATGCCTCAGCTCAATTTTCTCCTTAGAGTCAACTAGACCAGGCAAACTGAAACTTCACATTCCTTGTTCCCACTAATTACCGCTCTCAAATTTGTTCATTAGAATCCAGTCCTTTATCAATAATGGCCTCCATGGCAGACACTTCATATGCTTGTTCTCACCGAGAATGACACCCTAATTTGTTCAAAAGGTTTATGACTATTTATTCTGATTTTTGGGGGTGTCAAATTTGGAATGAAATTTGGTATTTGTGTAGCTAGTAGTGGGACTCAATACATATATTCTGTTTTCCATGATATAATACATGTAACCTTGATTGGTAGTGTACGCTTTGATCATAAAGTGTGCATTACTCAGAACATGTGATGTTTTGACCATGTTTGTAAATTGCCTCCAAGTGTTATTTGGCTCTCAAATGGCTAAATGAATGGAGCTGAACTTTGGTATCTCCTTGTAATGACAGTATGTTTTGTTCTAAGCATTACATTTTCCAATTAGGTTTTAGTTTATATGCAGGAATCATTTGAATGTCAGTGCTAACAACAACATTTCTTCAGTGGTTTTACTTTTTTACTTTTTGTTTTTCCACAGTAGTGAATGTGATATATTTTTTTTATATTCTCTCTTATTCTTTTGTCACATTGGTCTAATGTGACTGGATTGTTTATTTGGTAATAGTTTATATGGGAACAAAGTCCTGCATTTTGTCACTCAATATGTATCATTTGTCTAGGTCAAAAAGGGAGACAGTTTGTGAATTTTTTCAGCAGTGCCTTTTGCTGTAATTTGGAAATCTTAGACGTGTAAAGATGGAACATCTTTTGCCCCACACAAGATTATGGACAGCAAGTTATTAAACCAAGGATTTATTTAAAAACTCCATGTATTGCAGGAGTACTCTGATTTGGTTCAGAGTAAGTTTTAGTCAAGCCACCATTGTCATTGATTCTTTTAGTATTTCAGGTCTCATATAGGGTGAGAGGTACCACATGGTTGTGTAGACAGCTTCACATAATACTTGTTTCTAATATCCACTGATGTTGTTCAGTGTTTGGAAACCCACTGTTGTTTGTGCTGTTATGACACATTCAGGGAGAGACATATGTTGTTGATGTGTTTAATACTGGCTGTTTTGGAGGTGAGTTTAGCATGTTATCATCCATCACTGTAGTATGTGGTACTCATCCGTCCATTCAGCATCTCCTGTAGAATTCATGGACCTTTTACCCAGACACTTGGCATTTACAATCCCACCTGTGATGGCATTGGAATATGATCATGATTCACACCTTGAGCATTACTGTGTAGAGAAGGCTAATGTTGTCGGGTTTAGATTTATTACTTGGGTATATATGTGATTACATAGTGACAAGGCTTTTGGCTGTCCTAACAAATTAACATTCTGGTCTGTTTGTTTGTCCTATATAGGATGCCCCTGATCAACTTGTAGGCCCAAGCCTGGTATTGACTGTATTTTCTTTCTCACAAAGTACAGCAGTGTGGAATGGTGTGTATTGTACACAGAGGAATTGAATTTTGCCTGATTTCTTTTCCAAAGGGAGCCCTAGAATTTTAGACTCGGAAATATCATGACATGATTGGTTGGTTGGTTGGTTGTTTAACGCCGCACTCAGCAATATTCCAGCTATGTGGTGGCGGTCTGTAAATAATCGAGTCTGAACCAGACAATCCAATGGTCAACATCATGAGCATTGATCTACACAATTGGGAACTAATGACGTGTCAACCAAGTCAGTGAGCCTGACCACCTGATCCTTTTAGTGGCCTCTTTTGACAAGCATGGGTTACTGGGACCCGTATCTTCAAGGGTGATAAGGTCACCTCTGCATTCTGCCCCATTTGTCAGTATCTAAAGGTGCCTGTTTAAGCAAGTACAAAATGTATTTATGTAGCAGTTTATTACCTTGTTTACACAGACATTACAACTAGTCTTGGCAACTCTACTTT